ATAAAATTTTAAGAAATTTAATATTTTTTTCATTTTTTCGATAAAAATATATGAGATTAACATCCGAAAGAAACGACCAAAATAATTTTATACTTATTTCAATTTTATTTTAATTTTATTCTAATTTTATTATATCACGTGTTAAGAAGAAAGCTGTTTTGTATATTTAAAAATGTATAATTTCATGTACCACTATAAACTACTTTCTTTTTGTAGCAAGAAGCGATAATTAAAAACCGTATTTTTTTTCTCAACTATCGCATCAAGAATAGATTCAATGATTTGCTTTTGAGAGCAGAAAAAGATATGTCAAAATAAAATAGCTATGATTGCGTTTCGCCTCGCTTACTCTCGAGCTTCACCACAATATCTTAGTTAATTTTTTTTTGCAACTATTTCTTTGCTTCGGTTAAAATTTTCCCAATCTCCCAAACCGACACCAAAAAGAAAAAAAATACATACGTATCTAAATGCAAGGAATTCCTTGCTTCGCCGCGGGTACGAAAGCCATAAATCGCAATATATAAAATCTAATTAAAAGGAGATTAATAAGCCCAATTGTTACGAACAAGATTCAAGTTAGACCTGATTAAGAGCTGTGTAAATAAACACAAAGACCAATTCATAAAAAGTATTTAAGACGCTTCACCTACGTACTCTTGTGTATATATATATCTATATATGTATACATATAATATTTTTGCTTACTTATATGTCAAATCTAAAATCAAAATTTTATTTCTCATTTTATCTCTTCCATTTCACGTTCGTTTTCTCTTATATATAGTCTATAGTCACATTCTCAAAAATTTTTCATCTCGCCTTTTATTATTTCTTTTCTTTTTAAAATTTTTTTACAATAACGCGGCGGACACGCGAATCTACGCGTTTCACACGATAATTTCGTAGTCGGTATAATTTCTTTTCAAATCCTTTTGTTTTTTTTTTTTCATTTTATTATCCATTACTTTTTGACATATCTGTATCTGTATGACTCGCTGTGATTTATAATCGTGATAGCCAGCCGAATGATTTCGTATAGACGCTCTGCGTCATCTTCGTTGCTGCGGATTTCGCGATAGCGAATTCGGACGATTATAAAGATTTTTATTCTTTTCCATTCCTTCGCATTATTTTCTATCCTCTTTCGCTTTTCATCTCTGTTCTTTCTCCGTTTTTTTTTGTATTTGACGCATTTTGAATCGTTTTAAAGGCACATGTATGAATTACAAGTATCGTCAGCGCGACGCAGTCGCAACGTCTTTACACCTCTTCTTTCATTATATCATCATCGTCTTTATCGTCGCTCACTTCTCTTTTTGTTCTTTTACTTTTTTTTTCTTTTGTGCTTAAATTTTGAACAGAGCTAAGCGAGAGTGTGCAAGCCGTAAGTGCGTACAGACGAACGAAGAGAAAACGAGTCGAATACCTTGAAAGAATACAACGAAGAAAGAATATCCGCGCTTCGATCAATATCCATCACATTCCCTATCTAACATTCTTTTTTTATTTAACTCATAATACGTAATAATTAAATCCAAATTAAATTCCATTAGCGAGGGAAAATACATAACGAGTCTGTAATGTAAGAAATACTTTTCCTCGAAACTCTGATCACATGATATAGCAATTCTTATAAATTTCTTCATTTTACATAAGAATAATCTGATAATAAAGTATGTGTAACTCATTACTTTGTATTAAAAATTACTTCGTATAAATTAAAAATATATTATTTAATTAAAAAAATGTTCCGATTAAAATATTAATTGCATGTTTGTACACCAAGAAAAAAATTATTTCTTAACTAAATTAATTTAGTTCGTCTTTATTTCTTCTGATGAAGAATGTATATATTTAAGTCAAACATATTATATTTGATTTAAAAAACAATTAATTAATTATGTACATAAAAAAATATTATTGATGTATTTGTATTTTAAATTTTAATTAAAAGAAATGTATCATTGGTGGTTAAAATATAATTACCATTTTCAGGTTGCGTGTAAAGAAATGTTT